TTGAGCATCGCTGGGTGTGACCCAAAATGCTAAAAAAAAAAAAGGAGAATGTTCCATCCTTATCAACTACATTGCTATATATGAGAACTGTTGTTAGCAGAGTCTCCTGCCTCCGTGCCTGGCTGTCCTCGTCGGGACCCCTTGGAGGGGAGCGGGTTCCCTCCCTGCCCCGACCAGGGCTCCGGCAGCCGAAGACCTCCTGAACCAGCCACCACCATGCTGAGACCACTCTCTACACGCAGGAAGGTACCAGCAGAAGAACAAAGGCACGCAAGTCCCGGGGCTGAGATCTCCAAGCCTGCTCGGATCGGGGCTGAGCATCCCCTACCCAGATCCTCCACATTCCAGTAGGCAGGGGTCACACCCACCAACTGACCCCCTGGCGCCGTGTAATCCCATCAATGGCCAAGACCAAGAGACTATAATACCCAGCTCCCGAACGTGCGTGGCTGCATTTGCGGCCCCGAGACATCTTATTATCTCATCCTTACTTTTGACAAACTGGCAGGCTACTGAATGTAACCTGCCCACACGGCAGAGTCTGGCAAACTCCCCGTGGCGTACCTAATATGCCAAATATCAGTAACAATGATGGGTCTCATTCTCCTAACCCTGAAAGAGCCTTGAATATGGCACTTTTTAAAAAAATCTCAGGGCTAGGATGAAGGAGACGTTACTGGGGCTTGCTGGAGACAATCGATGAACAACAGGATGGTAATGATCGTGATCGTTGTTAGCATTTGATCTTTTATTTATTTTATTTTCTTGGCCACCCCTGGCTATGCTCAGAGGTTCATCCTGGCTCTGCAAATAGGAACCATGCCTGGCGGTGCTCAGGAGAACCTAAGGGATACCAGGGCTCGAACCCAGGTGGGTTGCATCGATACAAATGTCCTCTCGTTCTGGTCCCCACCACTGAGAGTTAACAAAAGACATCCAGCAGAACTCACCCCTGATGCGACCTCTCCAGGTCACATTTGGAGACAATTTTTTAAATTGAATCACAGTGAGATACACAATTACAAGGTTGTTCATGACTGAATTTCAGTCATACAATGTTCCAGCACCTCTGTCTTCACCTGTGTAGTAATTTCCCACCACCAATGTCCCCTGTTTCCCTCTCACCTCCTTCACCCATCCGGTTCCGCCTGCCTCTATGACAGGCACTTTTCCCCTCTCTCTCTCTCTCTCTCTCTCTCTCTCTCTCTCTCTTTCTCTCTCTCTCCCCTTTTGGGCACTGTGTTTTGCAATATTGATACTGAAAGTTTATCAAGAATACGACTTTCCTACTTTATTTATTTATTTATTTTTATCTATTTTTACTTTTTTTTGGGTTACACCCTGCAATGCACAGGGGCCATTCCTGGCTCTGCACTCAGGAATTACTCCTGGCGGCGCTCAGGGGACCATATGGGATGCTGGGAATCGAACTCAGGTCGGCCGCATGCAAGGCAAACGCCCTACCCGCTGTGCTATTACTCCAGTCCCCCCTTTCCTACTTTTGACCCTCAGCTCTTGTCCAGTGTGATCATTTCCAGCTGTTATTGTCATGCTGGTCTCTTCTCTATCTTACCTATGCTCAGCCCCATACACACTTCTGGTTAGTTCCAACCATTGACCAATCCTAGTAACCCTTGTTTTCCTTTGTCATGGATATTCTTCTTCTTCTACGATATATATGTATGTATATATATTTATAGACTGCAAATGAATGTAGTCATTCTCTATCTGTCTCTTTCCTGAGGACTCATTTCACTCAGCCTGATACTCCTCCATGTTCATCCAAAAATACATTTATTTTTATTTAAACACCATGATTTATAGTTTTTCATAATACATTTGTCTCAGGCATTAAGTGTTCCAATACGACCAGTGTGACCTTCTATCCACCAATGTCCCCAGTTTCTCCCCCAACGCCAACCTGATCCCTTAGGCACCTGACACATCTACTTTATACTGTTTGCTCCTACGAGATGAAAGAAATTGCAAATTGAAAGTAAATTGAAAATAAATCAGTAAAATCCAATTTGTGATAGCTCTATGATTTTAACCTATGAATACAAAGAAATTCAAACCATGAAATAAAATATAATAAAATATATCCATTCTCATTTAGATAAGTAAGCTTTCAGCTCTGGAATTTAAAGTATATTGCATTCAATTTTATTTTGTGCTTGGTTCTCATTATGGGAGTAATCATGCTTTACCTGTCATTAATAAAACTTAAAAAATTTCCGTACTAATATATTTTGGAGTTTACATGAAATAGATAAGGTCTACAATATGTAAATCTCCCCTACACTTTATATGAACACCGAGGTTGACAAAGTTGTTCATGATGATTTTTTTCACTTTTTATTTATTTCTTTAATTTTTTATTCATGATGATTTGTTACAGGCATTCAATATCCCAACATCAATTCCACACCACTGTCACTTCCCTCCACCATTGTCTCCAATTTTCCAAGCACCCCTCAAGCCTGCTTCCATAGCAGGCCCATGAGAATTTATTTTAGATTGCTTATTACTTGGCTGGAGTGGTAATACAGCGGGTAGGGCGTTTGACTTGCACACTGCTGATTCGGGTTCGATCCCTGCCATCCCATATGGTGAGCACCACCAGGAGTAATTCCTGAGTGCAGAGCCAGGAGTGATTCCTGAGAATCACGGGGTGTGATCAAAAAAGCAAAAAAAAAGAAAAAAGAGACAGCTTTTTACCAATACATTGCTAATGGAGTGATTAAAAAATAAACTCCTGAGTTTGAGAACTCTTACGCACAAGGACGTGAGACAGTGTTGTGAGAGGCAGGAGAGTTGAGAGTTGAGAGTTGATGGGGACAAAGTGGAAAGCGCAGATTTTGCATCACTCCCAAGATGCTCTCCAGGGAAGCTTGGGCAATTTTTCCATTATTTCTGTCCAGCCAGCATCCTCCCCCAGGGGAATCCAGTGCAGGGCGGGGGAGCCCGTGCTAATGAGTGGCTCCGAGGCTAGAATACCTGCCCTGATCTGGACCATTGGCCAGAGCAGCCTCATGTGTGCCGGGAGACATTCGCTGCTTCTGGAATCCTGACTCTGGTTCTGGGAAGGATGCTTTACCCCAGCCTGCTGGCTCGTGTGGGGACCGAGACCCAGCCCCAATTCAGAATTCTGGGGACAGGCTCACTCTGACACAAAGTTCTGCCTCGCAGGGACTCCAAGGTGAGTCTTCCCTCTCAGTGGACACTCTCTGATTGTCAAGCAAGGAGCCTGCAAGCATTGAGCTATTGCCGGTGAGAACCATACAGCCAAATTTTGTGCCCAGAAGCCTGTGTGGTTGTCATAGAAAAATGAAAAGTTTTCAACAGAATGTGGGCAGTATAGAAAACAATCAGTAGAGGGATGGATGCTGACATGAGAGTGAAAAATTGTTTTAGACAATGAGATGTACTTAGCTCTATGTTGATTGCAAAGCTCCCCAACAGGCGTGTTGATTGCCAATTTGCCCGAGCGGGCCCAGTAACATCTCCACTGTGAGACTTGTTGTTACTGTGTTTGGCATATCAAATACGTCACGGGTAGCATGCCAGGCTTTGCCATGCGGGCGAGATACTCTCCGGAGCTTGCTGGGCTCTCCGAGGGGGGTGGAGGAATGGAACCCGGGTCGACCTGGCAAGCAGTGTACAAGGCAAACGCCCTATCACTGTGCTATCACTCCAGCCAGGTTGATTGCCAATAGCAATTTTAAAAAATTCATTTGTATTAAAACACCATGAATCACAGAGCTTTCCATTATAGAGTTTTTTCAGGCATTTGGATTCCAACACTGTCAGTGTGTCCTTCTCTCACCAATGCCCCTGTTTTTCCTCCATCCCCAACCTGCCCCTTTAGGTACACAAAAAATTGATTTTATATTACTGGCTCCAACAAAACTTTTAGAAATGGCAAACAGAATGACCGGAGGCCAATATCATTTTGTCACCTCCATTTATAAGATCTCAGTGTCTTTTCTTTCACTCTGCATTTCTCTTTTCTCTTTGTGGGGGAGGGGCATGTGATTCTCAGGTTTAACTCCTGGCTCTGCACTCTGGAATCCCTTTTGGTGCGGGGTTCTACGACCATACGGGGTTCCAAGGACTGAACTCATCTCAGCCCAATGCATGGCACATATCTTGCCCTTTGTTACAATCTCCCTGGGCTCCTGTTCTATGTGTAATTCTGTGAAAAAAAATAAATGAATAGGACTGGAGAGGAAGAGACAGAGCACATGTCAATCCTTATAAATTTCCCCTTCACGTTTCATGTCTTAGGGTCATTAGTGGTTTCTTTGCAGTATTTGTCATTAGTTCATTGCTAAAAGTCGCATTATCCCCACATTCTCTGAAGCTTTTCATTGTTATCCTTGTACTAAACATCACCATGAGGTTCCAGAGGCATCGCTGAAGCCATACACTCTCATAGAAGAGGACATTTGGAGGCTGTGGATTACTTTACCCACATTTTTCCCCCTCTGTTCTAGGTCTAGAACTGTCAGTGCTTTGGTGTTACTCCTGGCTCTGCACTCAGAAGACTCCAGGTTGTGCTCAGGGTATATGATCAAACCAAGTTTAGGAATGAGCGGGGTTAATACCTTACCTGCTCTATTAACTCTCCAGTTCCCTTCCACACACATTTTAATGGAGCTCATCTTGCCTTATTTTATTTCCCAGAATTTTCCATTTAATATTGAACTGGGGGACCAGAGTCCAGCGGATAGGGTGCTTTTCTTCTATGCCGCTGACATGAGTTTGATCCGAGGTGCCATAGTGGTCCTGAACCAGCAGCAATATCCTTGAGCACAGAAACAGGAGTATGTCCTGACCATTGTCTGGTAGGACCCAAAATAAAGAACAAAAACTATTGAATCTGTAGATCCCAGGATATCATTCATTTACTCCTTACTTTATGTCTTAATGAAAGGCCGGCAGTGTCGGAGCATGGCTGAGAGCTGCAGAGAGAGAATTGGAAACCACCATCGCTGGTCTCACACATGGATCCACAGAACCTTACACGGCTCCCCGAGTTTTTCCTCTTGGGACTGTCAGAGGATCCTGAACTGCAGATCTACATCTTTGGGCTCTTCCTGTCCATGTACCTGATCACCGTGCTGGGGAACCTGCTCATCATCCTGGCCGTCAGCTCAGACCCCCACCTCCACACGCCCATGTACTTCTTCCTGTCCAACCTGTCCTTTGTGGACATCTGCTTCAGCTCCACCACCGTCCCCAAGATGCTGGTGAACATCCAGACACACAGCAAGGCCATCACCTATGAAGGCTGCATTGCCCAGATATACTTTTTCGTTGCCTTCATAAGTCTGGACGATTTCATCCTGTCGGTGATGGCCTATGACCGCTTTGTGGCTATCTGCCACCCCCTGCATTACACGGTCATCATGAACTTCCGGCTATGTGGGCTGCTGGTCCTGGTGTCCTGGGTAGTCAGTCACCTGCATTCTTTGTTACAGAGTTTAATGGTCTTACGTCTGTCCTTCTGCCCACACTTGGAAATCCCCCACTTTTTCTGTGATCTCAAACAGATGGTGCAGTTGGCTTGTTCAGACACGCTTGTGAACAACATAGTGCTTTACAGCTTATCTGTGCTATTGGCGGGTGGTCCTCTCTTTGGCATCCTTTACTCCTACTGTAAGATCGTCTCCTCCATCTGGAAAATCTCCTCAGCCCAGGGGAAGTTTAAAGCCTTTTCCACCTGCGCGTCTCACCTCTCTGTGGTCTCCTTGTTCTATGTCACATCCCTAGGTGTGTACCTGAGCTCTGCTGGCGCCCATGGCTCACACTCCAATTCAATCCCCTCGGTGATGTACACGGTGGTCACCCCCATGCTGAACCCCTTCATCTACAGCCTCAGGAACAAAGACCTCATGGGGGCTCTGAGAAGACTTTTCCAAGGAACTGCTACAAAGGGTCTAGTAGCTCGGGACTGAGGAATTTGTCCTTGATTACAGCTTCAGAGTTTCAGGTTCTGGAATGATGACCAGATTGTGGGATTTCCAGTGTTTTTTCTGGATAGTTCTTTAGTTGTTGTGATATTGGTCTTCCCAAGGTTGTGGTTTAGGTTTGATTTCTGGCTCTATTCTCTGGGAGCACTCCTTGAGGGCTCTGAGTATCATATGGAAGGCTGGGCACTCAACCTGCATCAGCTAGAGTTAAAATGGACTACGTTTTGTGGTTTCTCTGATGTCAACATTTCTTCCGCAACCATTTTCTTTCCTTCATCTCTTTGTTCTCCACCTAGCATTCTCAATTTTTTTGTGACTTCATTTTTTTGCTCTGTACTTGGTCCTGAACGTTTAGGGCTTAGTCCTGGATTTGCTCGGAGGAATCAGTCCTGGAGGTTCTTGGGTGATTGAACCTAGCGTAGTTGTGTGCAAGAGAAGCTCCTTACCTGCTGTACTAATCTCTCTAAACAGAAAAATTTCTTTTTCTTTTTCTTTTTGTTGGAGATGTTTTGGTGCTACTCAAGCAGATTGAAGAACAACGGGAGGACAGTGCTACAGTGCTTTATTTTTATTAGTGATACACCATGAGGTACACTTGTAGACTTACAAACTTTCGTGCTTGCATTTCAGTTATACAATGATCGGGTAACCATCCCTCCACCACTAGTGATCCCAATATTTTCCCACCGCCCTCCCCATCCCCCCACCCAGCCTCTGTGGCAGGGCATTCCCTTTTGCTCTCTCTCCTTTTGGGTGTTGTGGCTCGCAATAGAGGTATTGAATAGCTATCGTCAAACACAGACATTTCATAAGCATATGTTTACTAACACCCATCCCAGTGCTCCCAAGACACTCCTTTTCATCTGTCACTTCTCTTTTTTGCTCTGCTTCCCCTATCTGTTGACCACTCATTTCCCCTTACAGAATCTGTGACCTATAAAGTCGGATTTTTCAGAGGTCTCTGGATTTTGTCTTTGTAAGTGAAATATTGCTTTTATGTTTTGCTTATGTCCTTTGCATAGTCTACTTTAGAGCAATGTCCTTCTGGGTCAGGGCATTTGCTCAGGACACAGGAAGACAGTTCATGCTATGTTTTTGTAAGTTGGGAGTTAATTGACTCCGAATAATAGTTACTCCTGGCCATATCTCATATTAACTCGACTTAAGCCTCAGTTGTCCTTGGTTCCAGCACCTTCAAAGCAGGGTCGTGACAGAGGGACTGGATGCACCCAGGTCAAGCTGTAAGCTACTCTGGCATTTGTACGGGACTGGCCAAGTACCATAAAACTTATAAATTCAGAGAATGGCTGTGGACAAATTCTGTCATGACCCAAAGAGAAGTGACTGGACAAGGACCCTGCTGGGGTTAGGAAGGACTAACCTGGCCTGCGGACTGTAGTCTGGGATTTATAAGCGAGATGTCCCCAGGAGAGTCACCCTATAGTCTTAATTATCTCTTATTGTGTCCATACAAAATGACTGGAAAGATTATTAAGAAGTAAATTTAAAATGATTGTTTATGGACTAAGGAAAGGAGATATATGCCCTTAGATGAAATTTGGTCTTTTTGACCTCCTAGCAGGGTGAGATCTTTGTCTTAGAAGAAACTTCCCTGAAGGAAGGGTTTTTTTATGTTGATTGTGACATCTGACCTATGTATAACTGCTACTCACAATCCTTCATGATTGGCTGTCAGACTGGACAAAAAGAGGGGATATGAGAAGTGGATGAGACTGGAAAGGAAGAAGAGGAAGGTGAGATTGGAATAAACTTCATTGATCAGCAACCTGCCTGGCTCTCGTTTCCTCCTTCTTTCATTCATCTCTGTCAGCATCTGGGGTGGGAAAGTGGCCTGACCACAGAACGCATGCGACGAGCACATTTGAACACACACAGATATTGACCCCTAGTTGGCTTTTTTGTGTACTGGCCATAGTTAGTAACATTAGTACAATGGTACGATGGCTTTGGGCTTAGAGCTCAAGAATATTCTGTTCTCATTAACTGCATTGGAGAGTTTGAAAACTGTTGTTTGCGTTGGATCTTTCATTTGTTTTATTTCTTGGTCATCCCTGGTGATACTCAGGGGTTCCTCCTGGCTCTGCACTCAGGAATCACTCCTGGCAGTGCTGTAGATACTCTAAGGGATGCCAGGGCTTGAACCCACATGGGTTGTATGAAGGCAAACGCCCTCCCTGCTGTCCTCTCGTTCTGGCCCCTACCACTGAGAGTTAACAAAACACATCCAGCAGAATTCACCCCTGATGCGACCTGTCCAGGTCACCTTTGGAGACAGTCACTTTTTTTTTTTAAATTGAGTCACAGTGAGAAACACAGCTACAAGGTTTTCATGACTGAGTTTCAGTCATGCAGTGTTCCAGCACCTTTCTTTTATTTATTTATCTGTCTTTCAATTTTATTGAATCACCGTGAGATCATTACAAGCTTTCATGTTTGGGTTACAATCACACAATGATCAAACACCAAACCCTCAACCAGTGCACATTCCCCAGCACCAATATCCCTGGTATTCCCCCCGTCCTTTTCCCACCCTCCCCCTGCCTCCATGGCAAACAGATTTCCCCATATTCTCTGTCTACTTTTGGGCACTGTTTTGATATATAGCTACTTAGAAGCCATCGTGTTTGGTCCTTTATCTACTTTCTGCACACATCTCCCATCCCAACTGATTCCCCTAGCCATCGTTTTCTTAGTGGTCCCTTCTCTATTCCAGCTGCCTTATCCCCTTTGCTCATGAGGCAGGCTTCCAGCTATGGAGCAATCTACCTGTCCCGTGTATCTACTGTCCTTAGGTGTCAGCCTCCTGTTATGTTGTTTTATGCTCCACAAATGAGTCCAGCACCTTTCCTCACCAGTGTAATTTCCCACCACCAATGTCCCCAGTTTTCCTCTCGCCTCCTTCACCCATCCAGTCCTGCTTGCCTCTGTGACAGGCACTTTTCCTCTCTCTCTTCACCCCCCCCCCCCCTCTCACACACACACACATACACACAGCCTCCCTCCTTTTGGGCATTACGGTTTGCAATACAGACAATAAAGGTTATCATCCCCTTACCTACTTGCAACGTACTTGCAACCCTCAGTTCCTGTCCAGAGTAATAATTTCTAGCTATTTGGAGATAGGACCCAGGTCAGCCGCATGCAAAGCAAGTGCCCACCTTGCTGTCCTTATGCTCCAGCACCAGCTCCATTCTATTTTGATTTTGGATGGGAAAATTTGGGAAATATCTCTTTATTATCAGACTCACTGGATCAAACAAAGTTCAGTTATATTTTTTGAGACCAAATTCAGCTTTTGTTTTGTTTTGGGGCCACAAACGGTGATGCTCAGGGGTCACTCTTGGCTGTTCTCAGGAATCATTCCAGGTGGGTCTCTGGAGGACCCTATGAGGGTGCCAGGGATCCAACTCCGGGTCAGCTGCATGCAAGGATAACACCCTCCTTGCTCTCCAAACGCTACGACCTTCTATTTCGTCTTAAAATATAAGGTACAGGGGCTGGAGCAATAGGACAGCAGGTAGGGCGTTTGCCTTGCACACGGCCGACCAGGGTTCGATCCCCAGCATCCCATATAGTCCCCTGAGCACCACCAGGAGTAACTCCTGAGTGCAGAGCCAGGAGTGACCTTTGTGCATTGCTGGGTGTGACCCAAAAAGCCAAAAAAAAAAGGTACAAAATGAAATTTTCATTTGCTTTTCCAGGACAATAGTCATGAGTTGTTCTTCCCTTATGAAAGGAAATGAAGTCGGCAGCCCTGCCTCGGCCAGTATAGACAGATGACCTTGGAACCGTATTTGTTCCAGTGTAAAATTCAGTGTTAGATCATGGAGAGCCGATTGAGAGTCATGGAGGGCCAAGGGAAGATTAGAAGAACTTTATTTTATCGCCATAGGCCAGCGGGTCCTGATGGGCAGAAACTCTCAGCTCCTGAATTTGACCCAGGGATGGAAGTCAGGGCAGTTGAATGGAAGTGAAGAGCCCACCTATGTACTACCTCTCCAGCACTGACTCTTTATTTTTTGGACACGTGGAACCTAATCCAGTAGCCAGGACCTTCAACACTAGAGTTTGGAGAAATACTTTTAAAAAATAAATTTATTTTTATTTATTTATTTTAAATGTTTCCATTTTAATTTTTTTTATTTTTTAACTTTATTATTGAATCACCATGAGATAGATCCTTATAAAGCTATTCATGATTGGATTTCAGTCATGCAGTATTCCGAAATCCATCCCTCCACAGTGTACATTTCCCAGCATCAGTTCCCTCCCATCACCCCCCACCTCCCATCTCCTGCCTGACTCTTTTCTTCTCCCTCCCTCCCTCTCCCCCTTCCTCCCCCCATCTCTCCTTCTCTCTCTCTCTCTCTCTCTCTCTCTCTCTCTCTCTCTCTCTCTCTCTCTTCCTCTCTCTCTGTGTCTCTGTCTCTCTCTGTCTCTGTCTCTCTGTCTCTATCGCTCTCTCTTGCTTGGTCCTTTTGGGCACTGCAGTTTTCAATATTGATACTGAAAGGTTATCAAGAATATCCCTTACCTACTTTTAACCCTCAGCTCTTGTCCAGTGTGATCATTCCCAGCTATTATTGTCATACTGGTCTCTTCTCTCTTACCTGCCCTCAGACCCATACACACTCGTAGTTAGTTTTAATTATTGGCCAGTACTCCTAACCCTTGTTTTCCCTGGTGATGGATATTCTTCTTCTTCTACTATATATATATATATATATATATATATGTATATATCACGAACGAATGCAATCATTGTTTGTCTGTCCATTCCTTCTGATTCATTTCCCTCAGCATGATACTCTCCATGTTCATCAAAAAAATAAAGTTATTTTTGTTTAAACGACAAGATTTATAGTTTTTTTTATAATGCATTTGTTTCAGACTCGATTTTGTTCCAATACCACCAGTGTGACTTCTCTCCAGCAATGTCCCCAGTTTCTCCCCCAACCCCAACC